TTTTATAATTATTTGGTATTTTTTTTTTTTTTTTTTTTTTTTTTTTTTTTTTGTATTTATTTGTTTTTTTTTTTAAGTTTAGTTTTAGTTGTTGGCCATCGCGCGCCTCGGTCATTTTGGGACAAGTACACACTTTTTGGCCTATTTGCAACGAAAAAACTCAAGTCAATTAAACGGTACATATGTAAAAATTATGGTTATGTCAATAAATTGGATTTCTTTTTGGTTGTTATTGTTTAACATTTGGTAGGCAGAGTATAAGGGATGCAAATTTGTACATTATATGCTGTACATATGATAAGCAAGCGGAAAAAGGGATATGTAGGTGTGAGAACATACACTATTGACTGATCTACAGGTATTGCAAATGTAAATTTTTTTTCTGTGTACGTTGTACGTCACAGAAATTACTTTCGAGAAACACATAAATGGAAAATGGAATAATCTTCTTTGTTTCCTTTGTACGCAGACAAGCGGACTTGCAGAGTGCGCCACCTCTTGATCAGTAAATCGTGTGGGTTTGTTGTTTTTTTTTTTTTTTACATGAATGTTATGTTTTAAAGTTTTTCATTTTCGTAAATAAACATCAGAAAATAACGCTTTCAAATAGAAAATTGGTTTAGTGGTCGCACTTAATACGGCAGCTCCCACACACACACAAACACACATAGCAACACGCTCGCATGCATGTGAATGTATTCGTGTACTCCGTGCGTGTGTGTGTATGTGTATGCAGCAACAATTTGATGTGCTTTTCAATATATGTATACATATACATACATACATATGTATAATATATATATAATTTTACACACCTGATATAGTGTCCGTCGTTGGGGCTGCGCAGCTGACCATCTTCACTGCCAGATGTATTAACCATATTGCGTTTTGATTCGCGTGTAGATATTAATTAGAAGACGCTGCCTTTGCCTCCGATTATAGATGCTGATTCACCAGCCAATTTCCAGCAGTTTGAATGCAACCTTCTTGCACGCTTTATGCCAAAATGATTGGCGAGCACTTTCTGCACATTTATCTGATCTTTAGTTCAGTTTTCGGTGGAATTTTACAAGTTTTTTTTTATTAAAAATGATTACAAACGTTTGCAATATCACAAACGTTTTTTCACGCAGTCGGCCAGGGCTGCATAAGACAGGAAAAAATGGCGTCAGCTAGACGTTGCCACATTATTTGAAAGTTAAGATCCAGCTGTTCACTCAGCTGACTACGATTTGCGCAAGTAGTTTTTCGGAATATTATTGTTGAATTGACTACAACAAAATTTGTTTAATAATATAGTTATGTATTTGTCAATGCGATTAAGAGGGCTGCAGCCACGTGCTTACATTGCGTATCGCTATGCGAGCACATTGCCCAGCCACAATTCAGAGGAAGAAGTGAGTGCCACTGTCAAAAGGATTCGCCAGCAGCTCGCACAGGACAAACAGCAACTGAGTTGGAGAACTCCGATTGGAGATCGTCCCGAGGACTGGAATAGTAAATTGAAACTGTTCGCCAATTCAGAGCAAACATCAGATTTCATTGTCATGATGCAACGGCCCATCGATCTGAGTCCAAAGAGCGTCAAGAAATGGTGGACCAAGCGCCAGGAGCGAATCGAACGACATATGCAACAATATGTGCCCGAACGCCACAAGATTCTCGGGCCCGAATTAGCTGCGGCCCATTTCGTACTCTATCGTGGAGGTGCAGCCAAGTTCTTGAACGACAAGCGGTGGCATCGCGCTTCAGAGGATGGCGAATTTAATTTGCCAAATAAATTTAATGCTAATTATAAGCTCGAAGCGCTTCGCTGCGATAACATGCAGTTGTATTACGAGGGCTTGGAGAATTTACGGAGTTTGGAGCATCTTAAATTCCTATCCCTGCACAACGTAAAGCCATTCGATGACTGGTGCTTGGATCGCATTTCTGGTGGCGATTACCCGCAATTGGAAGTACTGGATGTATCAAGCACATCAATTACGCATAGAGGATTAGCCTGCCTCTATCGCTTGCCCCAGTTGAAGCTTCTCATCATCGATGATCCGAAGCAATCTCTCGAAATGGAATTATCTGTTGCCATGCTGGAGCTAGCGATGCCGCCACTGAAAGTAATGGCAGCTGATACTATACATAGCAAAATTTAACTTTGTTGAAATATACTTTTTATCATTTGTTATTTATAAACATATCACAATTTTGGTTTGCTTTTCATGTATTCCGCCTTTATCTCCGCGCGCTCCTCAATGGGCGGTAAATAAGGTACGATTCCTTGTGCTCTGCGATCGGAGCGTACTTTGTTCTGCAGAGAATTTCATTAGTTGCTGTTGGTCAGGATTTGTTAGATTTCACAACTTACCCAAAACTCTTTGCAATTATTGTAATTCGCGAAGTAAACCTCGCATTTATCCCGGTCAAAATTGTTTTTGTTTAGACATTTGAAAGACAGCTCTTGCTCCTGCAATGATAGTTATGTATATCTGTATGTACAACTATACCGAATTGCTTACTTTTAAGCAGGGATTATCACGCTCAGCATTAAGATTGCGCGGCATCTTTTAATTAATTTTGATAATATTATATAAAGTTATTTTTGTTTCATAGCCGGTTGACAACCGGGCACTAGTTCCTCAAAATTATTCGGACTAAGTTTTGTGGAACTGAGCTTTCGAGTGCCGTTTATTTGGTTCTTACAAGACCAAGATATTTCACTTATATCGAAAAAAAAAAAAACGTAAATAAAGTGTTACTATATTTTTGCTGTTATTGCTTACTTTAAAAATTAAGAAATTAACCCTTTATTGTCCTATGCTTAGTTACAAATTTGAATTCAAATAATAGATGTAAAGCTAGTCCAGCCCTCGTCGCTGTTAATAACATTTCGTTTACACTTTATTGTGTCTGGCAGCTCTATTTCTAGTTTCGTCCGCTTATGGTGACAACACTTAAGCCAGTCTTGCTACATTTTTTTCGATGAGCACACGTTTTGTTTTTTTGCGCGGAGTTTTGAATACAATTAATATTAAATAATTAATGAATACTCAAAATGAGTGCGATATCGAAATAAACTACCATAACGAGAGCAAGCAATTGAGAAAATCGAAGCAAATAGCAGTGCCTGTGTGCTGTATAAATGCAAGTGTGTGTGTGTGTTGTGTGTTTGCGTTTGTTTGTGTGTGTGTCGAGTGAGTGCGTTATAAATAAAACGCCAAGAAGCTGCGTGCAAAAAGTAGACGCCAAGAAAAATAAAGAATGTGCCCAAACAACAGTGCAAGAAAAGAAACTGTTTTTATGCTGAGTTCAGTTTTTTTAATACATTTCTAATTAATTTTTTAATAAAGTAACGAAAGGCGAAAGTGCATTTCTACATGTAAAGCTGCAAAAGGTGAATATCGCGAGGGAAAATCATTTGCATTCTGCGACGACGAAACCAACGAATGAGGCTGTCAAAGCGTAATTGTAAAATTCCACTGTCTGGCACAGGCAACAGTCGCAGTCGCAGTCGACGTCGCAGTCTGCGCTTCACGAACACACACTCGTACATGCATGCATGCATATGTGTATATAAATGTGTGTTGTTTCTATATAAAGAAAACATGAAGTTTTCTAAGGAAAATGTGTGCAAAAAAAATATGTATTAATATAATGTGTATGTGTATTATTTTGTGCAGCTAAATTTACAAATAAACGCGTTTTGCAAACTTCGACCTGTAGACTTTATTTGGATTAAAGCAGAGGAGTGTTCAGCTTGCAACACGCTGTGTAATGGATGCAACATCAATAATAACACAAGTTTCCCGCGATGATGAACAATTGAATGTCTATCCAAGCGACAAAGGAGGTAAGAGACAACAACACACACACTTAAACTATGAAAGTATGAGAGTCCAATGAGTCATGCGACAGCCCAAACGGCGTCACAACAAAGACGAAATAAAAATACTTAAAGGACAAGTGGCCACCCCTCTGACCTTAGCAATTATTGAAGTTCCCCCACCCTGAAGCAGCTTACTCCGATAGCTATAGTATTGCTCTCTCACTGTCTCGCACACAAACTGTGTATGTGTGTGTGTGTGTGCGTGTTTGCATGTTTATGCGCAGCTGTTTTCTTGCCTATTGTGAATGATCTAACCACTTGCTGCTAGCTTCTGACGTCGCAACTTGCAACTCTCAGAGCGCCACCTGTAATCAACTGTGACGTCATGCAACTGCCCAGTGCACGCGAACAGCAAAAATCAACGGCAGAACAAATTGCAAATTGCGATACATTAACTGTCTTTGCATGTCCGCACTTGGTAGGACGACGACAAAGACGGCAAAGGGAGATAGAGTCACGGAGTGAGAGGGATAGCAGAAACAAAAACAATTGAAACCGCAATTAAATTGCACACTATTCACAATTAAGATAAGTGCGAGAGGAAGAGAGCAAAACCGGTATTGACTACTTTTCGTGAAAACAAACAAACAAACAAAGCAACAGACGATTAACAAAGCGTAGCTCACAAAAAGAAAAAAAAAAGCTTGAATGAAAACTGCAGAGAGCACAATTTTGTCTAAAGAAAGAGAGCAAAAAAATACAAAAAAGTTGCATACGCGCACATATGAATGTGCGCATGTATGTGTGTTGTTTGCCTTTAGTTATATGCACGCGTATTAATATGTATGTATATATACAAGCGTTTGTGTGTGCTTTTATATTTCTTTTTATTTCTGCTGCAGCGGCAGAGCAGAGCGCATAAAGTGCGAGGCGGGGCCCCGGCGAGACGACACAAGACGTGCGCCTTCTTAAAGTAACAACAAAATTTAATCTAATCTGCGGTCGCAAAAAAATAAAAACAAAACAGACGGCAACCATACATTAA